GCGGGGAACGTTGGAGTCTGCAGTCACTGGAGCAAGCAAGCCTCCCTGTTCGCTTCAGTGCATGGCTGCTGGCCGCCATCTTTGCTGGCAGTTAATTTGCATATCACCCTGATTAGCCAATGGGAAGCGTAGCGGAGGTACAGTTAATTACCATTTTTGTCTTTTATTAGATAGGACATGGTTATATAATCACCATACCTCTTGGTTCCTAGGTCCACGCTCAACCACTGAGCCACATATTTTTGAAACCTGCTTTTTACTTAAGATTGGAAACTTTCCTCCCCCAATTATTCTTCAGCATAAGGTTGAATTTCTGTGTAATATTCCACTGTAAGGACACATGGTTTACTGACTGTATTCTCTAAATGGGGTTGTAGGATGATTTTACTTGTCCCTTTGTAACCTCAGGTATGGCGGGGAACGTTGGAGTCTGCAGTCACTGGAGCAAGCAAGCCTCCCTGTTCGCTTCAGTGCATGGCTGCTGGCCGCCATCTTTGCTGGCAGTTAATTTGCATATCACCCTGATTAGCCAATGGGAAGCGTAGCGGAGGTACAGTTAATTACCATTTTTGTCTTTTATTAGATAGGACATGGTTATATAATCACCATACCTCTTGGTTCCTAGGTCCACGCTCAACCACTGAGCCACATATTTTTGAAACCTGCTTTTTACTTAAGATTGGAAACTTTCCTCCCCCAATTATTCTTCAGCATAAGGTTGAATTTCTGTGTAATATTCCACTGTAAGGACACATGGTTTACTGACTGTATTCTCTAAATGGGGTTGTAGGATGATTTTACTTGTCCCTTTGTAACCTCAGGTATGAAGTCCATTTGGTGTGTTACTGTGTACATCCTTGCACATCCCCATTTCCTGGAATGAGCTCCTTATCACAGGAACTAAGCAGAGGTTCCTGCAGAACTTGACTCCTGTGGGCAGAGCTCAAGAGATTTATCTCAGTGCTGTGGCCGATGCAATGCTGTGAGCACACTCCATCAAACATGCTTCCTTGGCACACCAGGAAGTGGCAATGCCCGGCTGACAAATCTCCAAGAGCCACCTACTCTTAGCCCCGACCCTCACGACCATTGGATAACACAGCAAGCGTGACCCTGTTCTATTGGCTGCTTACTCCTTTTTATATGACTGTACTTCCTCAATAAACTTAGATCTGTGTCTCTGAACCTGGTCTCCAGAGTTGTGCATGCAAACGCCCTAGCGCGGTGGGCTCCATCGTCCTCACCCCTGAGAGACCCCCCTGTTCCATCTGGTGCCCCAAACAGGGACCCCTGGCACCTCTGGATGGGTGAGTGACCCTCTGTAACGATGGGAAACCTCCTCCCCTCAGCCTGAGCCCTTCAGGCTCACGTGCTTCATGCATTGTTACAGAGTAGGCGAGTGAAAGTAACTGAAAAGGAACTACAAAAGCTCTGGGACGTCCTAATAGCATTTAATCCCTGGCTGCTAGAAGCCCCCATTTGGGATCTCAGTACATGGGAGAAAGCATTACAGAGGATAAGATCAGCAGAGGTCCATGAGGGAAAGACTTTTCTGCTTTCTCTCATGCCCACTATTTTGGCAATCTTATCCTGCCTAAGCGGGGCCCCACCTGAGCCTGCACTTCCCATACCGGAGGCTCTCTCCACCACCGTTGATGCGGGTGGGGGAACAGAAGACCCTCTGCCTCCCTATTCCCCTCCAGAGCCCTCTTCCCCCCGCAGATCCCTGGGCCATTTTCGTCAAGCCAAAAGTAGTTCCTCAAAGCTCAAGGAGAACTGAAACTGAGACAGAAAAACCTCCCAAAAAAACCTCTAGCGAGGTGAAAGCAGGGGATTCTCACCAGGAGGCTTCCTGCCAGAGTCACTCCCCTGCTCCCCTCACAGAGTGAACAAAAGGTTTCACTGCCCAGTGGCCCCCAAGTACTCCTTTCATGGGGGACACAGATGATAATCCATGGATGGGGATATATCAATCCTTGTGTAGCCAGAGGGATAGAGCAAAGATGTTCTTAGGGCTGGAGACCCCTGGACTCTTTCCTGTGAATGTTAACACCACGGCTGCTCAGCTGCAAGCATGGATCCCACATGATCAGAAAACGTTAATGACTATTAGAAAGGCAGTTCAAGTTTGTTCTGCGAAGGGAGCAGGGGAGTGACTCTGGCAGGAAGCCTCCTGGTGAGACTCCCCTGCTTTCACCTCGTTAGAGGTTTTTTTGGGAAGTTTTTCTGTCTCAGTTTCAGTTCTCCTTGAGCTTTGAGGAACCAAGAAGATTGTTTAGATCCCAGGCATGACCAGAATCAATCGTCTCTTAAGCCAGGAAAAAAAGAGAAACAGTGTGATGGCACAAAACAGGGGCATTGTCTGTTTACCCTCCTATCCCTGTGCCGTCTTTGTTAATTTTTACTTATCTGAACTATGCTGGACTTAAGGCCGCAAGCTGCTACTAAGCACAACAAATTTTTCTCTGTCCTGTTTTCTTCTCTTTAACCCTTCCAATACTAAATTAGACT